CGGACTGGCGGGCGCGTCTGCTGGTGGCCATAGCCTGGAGCTGAGTGCGTCGGTTGAGGACACCATCAGCAAGCTGCGCGAGATCGGTCGGGCGGCTGCGGCTGGGGGCGGACAGGGCACTGAGGAGAGCATTGAGGAGAGCAGGGAGATAGCAGGTAGGCAAGAGGCCAGACAGACAAATCATGGCCGATAACCCTCACACGAGCCGTCCCCTCGTCTCCTTCCCTTCCCCGCCCCGCAGCGCTGCGCCAAAGTATCGCATGATCAAGTACGTCCGATTACAACATCTGCAGATACAAATCTCTTCACAAACGTTTTCTGCATGTCTAATGATCAGAGTCGCCCACCATGCTTCCTCCTCCCTCCGCACCTCTCCCAACAGGATCGCTGCCTACTTTTTATATCTGCCGGCTGTGTTGACATTCGCCTGCTCTGTATCCGTTGGTCGCCATGACGCGGCGGCTTTGAAAAGCCGTGCACCAGCTCCTTGAGACCAACGCCCCGCTGTTTGGCTCAGCTGCATACAAGCTGGCTTTGTGCGAGAGCGACGTCCACTTGTCGGTGTCGCTCAACGACTACGACAGAGCCGAGGACGGCGATGCAGACTGAGTCACGACTGAGTCACGAACTAGAGAAAGAAACGCAAGAAACGAGAGGCACCAACCATACAAGACAGCTATTGTTCCTGTCTTCATGTGTGTATCTATCTCTCTCTCTCCGCAGTCATTTTGAGGACGACGATGACGATGCCTTTCCGTCGTCAAACGTTCAGAAGTGCCACCTTCACGCCATCGCGACCATGGAATACCTTGAAGAGCACCAGCGGTACAGCGAGGCCAAGTACGCCGCCGAGATGCGCCCCTTACGCCATCGAATAGAAAAGGCCTTCGAGGACCACAAGAGGGGGGCGATCGACGATGCTGAGCTGGCAGAGAAGGTGCACCAGCTTTCCATGAGGGAGAGGGCAGCCATGAACGAGTACGAGGAAGCCCAACAAGAGATGGACAGAGAGCGTCGAAAGATCAAACATGACCTCAAACAGCTCGAGGTGAGACGAGAGTGGAAGGAGCAAGAGCAACCGGCGTTGGAAGCATCTTCTGTTTCATACCAGCGGGATGTGGTGGACGACGGCCTCCACGGGCTGCTGGCAGGGGCGGGTGAGGGGCCGCCGACTGGCGTAGCGGCCTGGATCACCGATCTGACGACGGTGGGGAGGTGCGCGAATGGGTGTGTTGACAGACAGACAGACAGACATCTCCTGTGTCCGTGTTGGTCGGTCAGGATTCTGATTTTCATTCTGAGTTGACCCCTCCGAGCCAGACAACGCCCATGACCGACTCGCAGCTGCCCTCCCCACGGCAGCACTGGTACGACAACCGGCCCATCCTCTCACCAGTGCCGCCATCGAGGCCGCTGCCGGAGAGGGACGCACGGCTGAGCGGACTGGCGGGCGCGTCTGCTGGTGGCCATAGCCTGGAGCTGAGTGCGTCGGTTGAGGACACCATCAGCAAGCTGCGCGAGATCGGTCGGGCGGCTGCGGCTGGGGGCGGACAGGGCACTGAGGAGAGCATTGAGGAGAGCAGGGAGATAGCAGGTAGGCAAGAGGCCAGACAGACAAATCATGGCCGATAACCCTCACACGAGCCGTCCCCTCGTCTCCTTCCCTTCCCCGCCCCGCAGCGCTGCGCCAAAGTATCGCATGGTTAGAAGGACGGTTAAAGGAGAGCGAGGAGGAGGTGCTCAGGCTTCAGACACTCATCAGCCAGCAGCAGGTAGGTATTCATTTCGACTGCCAAAGTACGTCATACATCCCTTTGTTTGGCTCCCGGTGCTTGCAGTCGTTGATGGCCAGGTCAGAGGAGCAGCTGAGTGAGCATCGCCACCGTGTGCAATCGGAGACACACGAAGGAGAAGACGCCGTAAGGAGATGAGACAGAGATGGACATGAGAGACATGGGTTGCACTTCCACTCATTTGCCAAACACCAGACCCTGCCTGAGGACGGCAGCCTGCAGAGTGGGCGAGTGGCATATGTCCGACGGGTCGACGGATGGGGGGACGAGTCGGACATTTCCGCCTACGACTTTCTTGAAGGTGTGACAGATCAGCACACGAGACACGCCAAGTGAGACCACTGCCTGCAGTGAACACACCACAGGCCCGACACCCGCCCGACAACCACCAAGACGTACGCTTGCAGGTGAATTCGGCAGACTACTTAGTCATCCATAGCACTTATTGTCCTCTGCCTCGTTCCACGATCAACAACCCACCAGAGCCCATGGCGCGGCGGCTCCGAAAGGCCGTGCACCGGGTCTTTGGCACCGACGCCGTTCTCTTCGGCTCAGCTGCTTACAAGCTGGCTTTATGGGAGAGCGACGTCGACTTGTCGGCTGCCATCCCGGCCGACAAGGCCGACCAGCTGCTTAGAGAGGGCTCGGCCAGGCAGGGGCATCAGGATGTCGGGATGCTGGCCTGCGAGAAGCTGGGGGATGACCTGAAGCATCGGGTGAGTGAAGGCCAAGGACGAACGAAAAAAGGAAAGAAAGAACAAAGAGACATGTGCGCTGCGTGCATGTCAACAGTATGGGGCCGACATGTCCATCCATGCCCGAAATGGGGCGCGTTGGCCGACAGTGCACTGCCATCTGTCAAAGGTACCAAAATGACAGAATCATGGAACAGAAGATGTTCAGATGATGGTTTGTGTCTGGTGTGTGTCTGGTCAGAGCCAAGGAAGGGGGAAGGCTGATGTGGCCTTTAACAACGGCCTGGGGAGCCACAAGGCCAAGCTCCTCCTCGCATATATGGAGTCTTCTCCAATTATCAGGAAGCTGGGTAAGCGGAGACACCGGTCACTAACGTTCACAAAAGACAGTGTGACAATTCACGGCTTGCTCTCTTTCTCAGCCTTGCTGGTGAAGCGGTGGGCGAAGGGAAGGGCGCTGTGTGGTGGCAGGGGGCTGACGTCCCTGGGATGGGTGCTGCTTGTAATCGACATTCAACCAGGCCGAAGACCTCCGATCAGCATCGCCGCCTACATTTTATATCTGGGCGTCTCTTCCCAAATGAAGATTGCGCGATCCGTCCCGCTGGTGGTAAGACAAGACACACACACACACACACACACAAGGTAAGAAAGGAATGCAGACCCTCACTTGGCCAAGTGTGCATGTCTGTCTGTCTGTGCCTTGCTTCTTTGGGTGTGCTGGTCGTTCGCGTCATCTGTCCATCCATCCATCCATCCATGGTGCAGCAAGGAGACACCAACCGCCACACAGTCCCACTTTGGCTCTGTGTGATCCCTCCTTTGTGTGTGTCCCTTCTGCCCAAAAGCATGCGGCACCGGCACAGCAGGCTCGACTGGTACGCAGTGTCTCTCACCTGCACAGAAATACACACAGAGACACTGCTCACACACTACACACACAGGCGTGTCCTGTCTGATTCAGGCACTGAGCAACTTCCTCAAGACACGCGGCCTGGAGCATCTCTGCAATGCACTAGCATTCGATCACTCGCGGTAGGGGACACCTACAATGATCCATTAGCCCGCCACGCCACACCTCTCTGTCTGGGTGCTTTCCGTGTGCCGTCGTGTCTTCGGACCAACAGGCCCTTTCCATTTCAGATCAATGCATGCAACTTTGGTTGCGTCTCAAAGGGCGGCGCTCACCGAGAAAAACAGGGAGCTTGATGAGCGACTCGGCGGCCCTCAACTTGCGCGACGCATTCGACGTGGACGAAGAGATCATGCCCAAGCAGCCCTCTGACGACACCGCAGCCGAGGGAGAGGAGGAGATCGTCGAGGCGGCAGCCGAGGGACAGGAGGGGGTGGTCGGGGAGACGGCGGCGGAGGACACGGCTGCCGAGCTTGCCGAGGAGATGGCCGTGCAGGAGACGGCAGACGAGGAAGAGGAGGGGGTTGCCGAGGAGACGGCAGACGAGGGCCCTCTGACGCTGTCGAGCCGAGAAACCTGCGGACAGAAGGACGGCCCCGAACACTTGCATTCTCCAAGCAGAAGGTACTGCAGCTTTCTGCCGCCAGCATATTATCTTTTTCCGACTGTCCTCGTCAGCCGGCAGTCAAAAAAGAAGTGAATACTCAAGAACCAACTAGACAACCTACTGAGTGCCTGCCTTCTGACGACACAGCAGCCGAGGGCGAGGAGGAGGTTGTCGAGGAGACGGCGGCGCAGGACACGGCAGACGAGGGAGAGGAGGGGGCCAGCGAGGAGACGCCCTTCCAGCGGGCGTGGAGGGATATTGCGGAAACAAACCAACGGCGCCAGCGGCTCAGGCAGCAGGTCGGCTGCACCACAATGCGCCATTCGATTGGAAGCTCTCAACTTTCTAATGGTGGCCTGGTTGGCTTCTCAGTTCAAAAACAAGTCAAAGACGTTCCAGGAGCGACTGCGAGAGAGGGCGACAACACCCAAGCCCAAGCCCAAGCCCAAGCGCAAGCTGCCGTCGGTGCCGGAGCAAACAAGAGGTGCGCTGAGACGATACAACGGAAGACAAGCCGTGTGTCTGTCATCATACTTCACTGTCTGCTTCTGTGTCTCTCTCAGCCAAGAAGCTCATCCCCTCAAGGAAGACACTCCTTCCAGGAGGACGGCCACCTGCCCCGAAGCCGTTCCTTGTGGGTGTTGCGCGCCGCCCCCTGGACGGAACATTTGGGCCGCCTCCCAGCTTCAAGCCCTAAAAGGAGCTCCGGTGTGTTCGATGACGAGATCTACAGGGCCATTCTCTTCACAACTGTGTCATGTGTGTGCTCAGGGAAAGCGAACGACGAGCCATAACGGTCCAGCTTTAAGCTCTCAGCCCCAATTTCCTCTACCCTCTCCCTCACCACCAGCCCTTCCAACCCTTGGCCACGTCTTTTCTCGCCACACCCAACCCCACCCCACCCCCAAGCCCACACTACACTTCGTCTCACGACCGCCAGTGACAAGCAGAGACGAGTGAAGAAGATAATTTGACCAGCCTCATGGATGATTTGTCGGCCGGCCTTCGTGGGCCAGCGGCTGGCCACCTTCAGCCCCGCCAGAAAAAAGGAAGTTGAGAGCAAAGGAAGGAAGCCAGAAGAGACGGGGAGGATCAAGCCACAAGTACCGCTTATATAATGGCGACATCGGCTCGGGAGAGGGAGAGACATGTTGATCGAAGGCGGAATGTGTGTAGTTCAGCAGATTGCTGTCTGCATTTTGTATTATTGTGTTGTTTCTTGGTGCAAACCGTATAGGCTCATCGACTTTGGGGTGGGTGCGACAGAGACACGAGTACTTGGCATCAATCATGTCTTGACGTTCATCGAGGAGTATGTTCGACTCGGGACAGAAATCTCACAGCAGGCCTCGTGAGACAACGGACAAAGGCAGAGAACAGAATTGCAAAAGTGTGTGACTGCATCCAATCAATGCTGTCCTTTCTGTGTGTGGTTTGCAGTCGTTGGTTGAGGACATGAGACTCGGTCGCCCATGCAAACAGCCACATATGAAGGAACACCGCACAGACGCACACTGCAACACAGCCAAGACTGTGTGCGTCTTAGTGCCACACTTAGTATCTGTCTTGTCCCATGTGCCAGCCAGCCAACACGACCGTATTCGAGTGAGTTCATCATGCAACAGCTGGAGTCACCATCAGTGTCGCAGCGGTGGAGACGAGTCCACCATCAGTGTGTCAGGGTATTCGTCCATCCACATGCACCTCAGACACACTGAAACAATCCAGTCAGCCAGTCAGTCCACACAGTCTCACTCCGGCCCTCCTTCACTTCAGTCTGTGTCTATCATTCGGGGATGGCGCAATGCAGCCCAGCCAGCGTTGCTATCTCCTCCACTGCACCCATGCACACACATCTGTGTATGTCTCTCTGTCTGCACGTTCATGTATCCATCAAGCCTACGGCTCAGGCGGGTATCGCGATCGCCGCGGGTTAGGCTTCGCAGCTTATCAGGGTTGCGAGTCACCTCCTTGAGCTCCTGCACATATCTCACGCACACACACACAGAGAGAGAGAGAGAGGTAATGTAAGATTATTATGATGGTATGATAGTTTGCCCACGGCCAGTGACGCCACGCCGCGGGCCTTGAGGGAGTGGGCGAGGTGCTCCAGGCCGCGTCCCTTGAGCCACTTCTCCAGCGCCTGAATCAGACAAGAAACACAACACACATTCACACGTGAGTGAGCAGTGTGTGCTCAGTGACCAGGCGATCTCGTCCCTTCGACGGTCGGCGGGCCTGCGTTTGTGTGCACAAAGAAGACGCAGATGACACAGCACAAGTAGGTGTGTCATCTGTGTTTGGTTCTTGACGTCTCCTTACTGCATCGTCGATGGATCGAAGAATGGAATGGATGGATCCATGGATGGGCGACGCCAAGACGAGCAGCACATATGCATATTATGCGATCAAGCAGGCAAGGCACAGACAGACAGTCGCAAGTGCCAGGTGAATGTCTGCATGGCCTTGTTACCCGGAACTGCAGGGGCAGACTGTCTGCCGAGACGAGCCATCAGAAGAGACAGCGACACGAGACAGACAGACAGACAGACAACCAGCCACTGAGTGAGAGCTTAGTGTGTGTGCGTGTGTGTACCGCGCGGGCCGATCCAGTGCGTCGATATTCCTCTCGAGAAACTCCGGGAGCTGACCACGAGCCATCGCGATTAATCGACGAGACATTGTGATTCACAACAATCGATCAGCGACGAACGGCTGGGCATCTCGTCCCCATCTTGCCAGCTTTGGCCGGCCCCAACATGTCTTCGGTCAAAGAAATCGTCAATGAAAGTTCCCCTCCGGATCTTCAATCGATCACAAGGCCTCCCCACGTGCGTTCTGTGCAGCGTGCGTGTAGGGTCTGGTGCAGCGTGCGTGCATCATCGGTACATCCAGACGCACGTGGCCATTCCAAAACAAAAGAGACACGGCCAGTGAGCATCCATGCATCCAGTCAGTCATTTGATCAGCCATGCACCCTCTCTCACCACTCAGTCCACTCATCGCTTCTGTGTCCCCCTCTCTCTCTGTCTATCTCTGTGTGAGAGCATCCACTCACTTTCCTCATCCAGACATCCAGCACACTCACTTTCCCTGCTCCATTCATGCGGTGTTCGTGTGTCATGAGTGTGTGTATCATGTGGGGATGGCGTGGTGCAGCCCAACCAGCGTTGCCTTCTCCACCACTGCACCCATGCACACACATAGATGTGTATGTCTCTCTGTCTGTCTGCACGTACATGTATCCATCAAGCCTACAGGTCAGGCCAGTCAGGTTGCGCAGCTCATCGATATTGTCGTAGTGAGTAACCCTCTTCAACCGCTGCACACATCACACACACACACGCAGAGAGAGAGAGGGTGAGAGGGGGTGAGAGAGAATCGTGTAAATACCGCGAGAGAGCGAACGTTGTTGCTAAGGAGTGCGTTTGTCAGTTTCTCCAGGCCGCGTTCCTTGAGCCACTTCTCCAGCGCCTGAGTCAGACGAGAACCACAACACACATTCACACATGAGGGAGCAGTGTGTGCTCAGTGACCATGCGATCTCGTCCCTTCGACGGACGGCGGGCCTGCGTTTGTGTGCACAAAGAAGACGTAGATGACACAGCACAAGTAGGTGTGTCATCTGTCTTTGGTTCTTGAGGTTTCCTTACTGCATCGTCGAAGAATGGATCGATGAACGGATAGGCGACGCCAAGACGGCCAACAAGTACATGCAGACAAGCAGGAAGCAAGACACAGACAGACAGACAGACAGTCACAATTGTCAGGTGAATGTCTGCATGGCCTTGTTACCCGGAGCTGCAAGGGCAGACTGACGTCTGGCGAGACGAGCCATCAGAAGAGACAGCAGACAGACAGACAGACAGACAACCATCCAATGAGTGAGAGCTTAGTGTGTGTGAGTATGTGTACCTTGCAAGCAGATTCACGTGGCCTGTAAGGTGCCGATCCAGTGCGGGGTAAGCCTCTCCGATCTCACCCGCACGTTTCGCAATCGACCGATCAGACATTGTGATTGACGACAACTCTTTGTGACTCAGACAAGCGATCGATCAGCGGATATCGATCGCGTAATACAGTCACTCATACGTACGCGTACATACATACATACATACATGCATACGCTCTGTGCAGCGTGCCGCACACATAGAACCGAGGCGCCTGACGTGCAGATTGCCACACGTCTTTCATGAATGACAGATCGAGTGTCATGTCCATTCAGTGCGTGCAGGAAAGAGCATCGATATACTGTCCGCAAAAGCAGGTAGTTCGTCTTTTTCTATGATTAGTAGAATCTGTCAAGTGCGCTGTGGACATTGCTGCGCGTCGCGGCCGTCTTGAGGCCAGCCATCCGTGTGGCGCCCACAGGGAACCCCTTTGTGAATGCATTTGACTTGGGAAAGTAACGCTCTGATCGATCAATACAGGAATCGAGACAGAGAGGGGATTCCATGTCTCTGTCTCTCACATGTCACCTGGCAGCTGGTGCTGCTTGGGCTTCTCCTTTCTGTCAAGTGACGTTCACATCCACACATATCTGGCTGTCATGCTCATCGATCTTATCTCCTGTATCTCTCTTACCCGTAGTCACGCGATGCAGTGGCATACAAAGGGTTGGACGCACCCTGCAAGACAAAGGGCGACGATCGTCATGGACGAGGCGGTTGGCCAGTTGCTGCTCGGTCCGCGCACCTTCCTGCTGTCCTCTGGATATTCGATTTTGTCCGCAGTGCAGCGAAACTTGCGGGGGATCGTGTGAGCGCTGAATAGACATCACACAGCAATGTTGGATGAGTCATCGCCCCCATGGCGTACCTGCTGACCCTGTCCGCCTGGTTCTCTTTGTCCTTTCTCTCGTTGCTCTCCAGATAGGGAAACGCGCTCGTGTCTATCTGCGGCCTCAGTGGGGCCTTGACCAAACTGCACAAACACGCATAGTTGGATGCGCAGAAGTCAATATATGCCGTTGTTCGTGCCCCAAGTGCTTGCCAAGTGCGTCGTCTTACATCTTCCTGCCCATCACATCTGCCATTTTCGGTATCTCTGTCTGGTCAATGCGAACACCACTAGTCGCCTGAGCAAGAAAACAGAAAGAGCGGCATTGCCACACCCAAGGGGATGACCTTTGACTCAGAGTTGCTCCCTATTCGTTTCGATGCTCATATACGTACCTTCCAGCCCCTCCCCAAGTCGCCCACGGTCGTTCGGAAGGTGCTCACAGCAAACGACGGATTCTCATCAGCAATGGAGGGGGCCATCGTCAAAGTGCTCACTGGTACGCCTCAAAAGTCCGTTCGCTTCTTTCCCCCTTTTCCCCTTGCGAGCTAAGATAGCGCAGATCTGCCAGGATTTGTCAGCGCCCTGTGCTACCCTGTGCTACCCTGTGCACAAGGGCAGGATGGTGGGACAAGATACCAACACACCCATCCATCCATCCATCCATCCGTATGAACATCTGCATGTGCACTGCTGTGGTGCACATGCACCGCGACAGATTACCTGAGCTCATCTGTCGCTTTCCGTACAAGATGAAGACATGACATACATCATCAGATATGAATGGAATAGCTCGGTCCAGCATGCGCAAGAGATTACTCACTACTAGACACTTCATTCTTGTCGGTTCGGCACGTGTGCAGGCTCCAGCCGACGTTAGCGTGGTTGCCACCCATGTGATAGATACATGTTGCGGCCGCGAAGACGGCTGCAGCATACATCAGCACGACGGACAACCACGCCATCGCTGGCACACCACCCACACACAATCATTACTACAATCATCAGCAACCGAGCTGAGTCACCTCGTGGCTTCCCCTCCACTCAACGAACACAAGACAGTATATGTACAGATGCAGGCAACAGATACCCACTAGCACTCATCCACTAGCCCCGTTCAGCAGCACATCAGACGAGCGGCGGCAGCGGCTCATTGTCCGCTGCCCTCTGTGCCACCAGTGCCTGGTACGAGATGCTACCAAACAGCAGCCGCACGTCGTCCTCGCCCAGCAGCTCCCTCGCCTTGGCCACGGCAGCCTCCTGCTGGCTGCCCCTGGCCGTGGTCAGCAGCTCCACCACGGCCTTCTCCGCAGGGCCGTCGTCGTCGTCGTCGTCGTCATCCATCACGAACTCGGGGAACTCCTCCTTGAGCTCGATGGCCAAGTAGAGGGCGTACTCGTCGCCCGCCTTGTCGCCATACAGAGTGATGCGGCTGCCGAAGGTGGGGCTGCCCGTCTCGGGGTCTTCCTCGCTCCATTTGGTGGTCAGGCGAGTGGATGATCGGTCATTCAGGATGGCCGCGGCGCGAGCGTAGCGGCGCGGCTGGCGGTCCTTGGAGATGTCGTCGCTTGCGAGTCTCTCAACGCCCCGCAGCGTCTCACCGCACTGGATGCTGGAAACAGGCAACGGAGGAAAATGCGATTGATGAATGACCTCCTCTGTTCTCCCTGTTGCGTATGTGTGTCTGTACCTGAAGAGGACGGCACCTCTAAAGGTAGCAAATGTCCCATTGTCACCAGACAAGTCTGCACACACAAAGCAAATGGACAACATGGGGGCTATGAATGTCTGAAACTATCTGTGGTTCATCGTGTTTGGCTCACTGTCGCTATCGTCACACGGCGGGTCCTTGGCGACATACGGGAAGTAGCAGCCATCCGACCGCCCCTCATGGTACCCCCACGTGCCCATCTCCTCCATCTCCTCGAAACTCAGATCCTCGCCCCCCTTGCGCAATCGATGGCTAAACAGGGTGTACTGGCGCACCCTCTCAGGCCGCCTGGCGAATGTGGCCTTGCTTCCGATGTGCTGCAGGTCGTCGGCCGCCAGCTGGATGGGCAGGGCATCCACCCACCCGTGGTGCTTGGCGAGATGGAGAGGCCCCACCCACTCCCGCCACGCCCCGCCCTTCTCCAGCACGTACACCGTCTTGATGGCCGCCTCCAGGTCATTGCCTGTGGCGAACGACAGCACGCCATGGAGGCCCTCCCGAGTCATGATCTGCTCCTTATGCTGCTCGAGGGCCACCGGCAGAGTCACGCCAGCTGGGATCTCCGTCATGGGCTGTCTGCTGAGCTGCGCGAGGAGGGCCTCACGTCTGCTGCTGCCCTCGCCGGCCATGGCCATGGTGGCGGCTTTGTTGAGTGCGATGCTCCAGAGGGAGGGCACTGGCCGGGGGTTCGGGCGCTGGCGAGTGGGAGCCCGGAACGCCATGAGCTACCTGAGGTGAGGAAAGGACGTCGAGTGAGTGACAACAGGAGAGCATTCAGTGCTTTGGGGCTGATGGAACGTGCATGCCTGCTTGCTTCCTTACGTGTAATCTGTAAGCCAACTGAATCGCAACTCCCAGGCCGCTTAGGGTGCTCCATGAAACCCTGCTGCTGCAGAGAGGCACATTCCTTCTTCGTTCCTTGCCTCTTAGATAACGCAATGCTCGTCGCCTGACTGACGCGTGTCGGCTTAGCTGATAAGTGATTCATCGCGCCCCGCCTTCGTTCCACCACAAGCCCGTCTGGAGCTGCGAGCACAGCACATGCAATGGCCGGCTGTGGTAGTGCGCCGCGGCTTCTTTCGACGTGCCGAGACCCATTCACTCTGTCGGCCTCATCGATTCGTCTGCCGGTCCACTGCTGAGAGAGCATATTGAGATGTCGGGTGCAAGAAGCAGCTCCCAAGACGGCGATGGACTGAGCTCGTGCCCCGGCTGCTCTATGCTGAGACCGACCCGACAAGGATGCCAAGGGGCCTCTCGCTGGGCACGTACACGCAGACGGTGACGCAGCTCAAGGAGGAGATGAGGAACTGGGACAGGTGGGAGCAGCCCCTCGAGCTGGCTACCAGGAGGCAGCTTTGCCGCCACGAGCTGGCCATCTGTCCGGCTTCTATCCAGAAGCACTTCCCCAGTGCGGCAGACGTCACTCGGTGCGGGATGCCCCAGGCCATCGCCCAGTTTGCGGCCTTCGGCAGCGCTCTCGGGTTGGGCATCAGCATCGCGCGGCGCGGCGGCGGGGCGGCAGAGTTTAGCATGGGGGATCGGCGCTTCCGTGTGGTGGGGAGCATGGAGCGAGGGGTGGACGACCGCTATCGCAGGCACTACTCTAGCGCCGACCCCGTGAGCAAAGAGGGGAACACACGTCAGTCCATGAATGGGCGCACTTAACTTATCTGTGTGGTCATCTGTGTGTGCTGCAGGTGGTGGAGGACATCGGTGCCAAGTGCATGTACCCGACCTTCTCCCAGTACGCCGCCATAAGGATCCTGACCCACCCCACAGCCGACGACACACTCGCATTCAAGGAAGTCGCGTCTGCCCCCGTGACCGCCTCCCTTCTGCCCCCGACATACCAGGCCCTCCTCACTGCCACACCCAACCAGATCCCCAACACACTCGTCATCGATTCACACGCCTCCCGTGGTCCCGACACGACGCGCCTCATCGTGCTGGCCGGCCACACCGGCACACAAGGAGAGGGAGATCTGACGCCAGCAGTGTATTTGGAGGCGAGGCCGCTGAAGGGATGGCGGCGGGCAATGATGAGGCTGTTGTCGGCGGAGAGGGCGGTGGTGGGGGTGGGGGCGGACAGGTTCCCTGTAGCTCTTGGTCTGGCGCGAGAGGCGCCAACAACTTCAACGTGGATGCTCTGCTGGACACCACAGGTACGCATGGGAAGGGGGGAGGGGAAAACGAGGTGAGAGCGCGTCCATCAATGGTTTGGTGTCCTTTGTGTGTCGTACGTACATGTCGATCAGTGCAAGTTGCGGCTCAGCTGCAGCTGCAGGTCAGTCAGATGGACAGACAACAAACGAAGGACGAGTCCACTCACGCAAGAGAACCATGTGTGTGTGTCCATTCAGGCTGCTGCTGCTGCTGCTGCTGCGTCTCGCTCAAGCGAGGAGGATGCACCTTTCTACGGCGATGGTAAGCGAGAAATGCGTGCAAGAAATGTCACGAGCACCCGTCTGTTCCTGCGTGCAGATGACCAGTCTGCACCCTCGGCCCCGTCGCCACCTCCCCGTGGGCATACCGTCTTGCGCAGGGGCGGCTCGAAGTCCCCCAAGCACCACGCCCAGGAAGGTACATACCAGCTTTGACACAGTTATGCATTCACGTCCATCCATGTGGTTTTCTCTGCATGCAGGTGGCGAGACCAGACTCTCGGCTGTCCCGCGCAAGGGCGTCTTCAGGCCGCCGATACCATCACTCCCGCCACCCAGACACCACACAAAGCAAGGTACACACACTCACCCAACCGGAATGACGATGGACACACACGCATGCATTCGCGCATGTCTTTGCACGTGGGTGTAGGCATGCATGCAGCTGGGAGGACGAAGATCCGAGGTGTCGGCGGGTTTGTTGGCCGGCTGCCCCCGCCATCAGCGCCTCGGCTGGCCGCAGGGCCGGTCAACAGCTTGGGTGCGCTCGAATTCGATGCCGACACCAGCGAGCCGACCAAGGAACTCGCCACCAGCATCGTCAACGGCACCATCGCACCTGCCACCCTCCCCGACCTCATCAGTGCTTCGTCGTGCGACGTCATGGCGACAGTGCACGTGGGCGGCACCCGACGCACCCTGATCGAACTCGCCATCATCCAGATAGAGGACGACACTCTCGCCCGGCAGGTCGTGGAAGCCCTCATCCAGGCTGGTACAGACGTGGACGGCGGCTGGCCGATCAAGCTGGCGATCAAGAGAGTCCGGCTCGACATTGCAGAGGCTCTTCTCCAGCAGCGGCACCCCGTCGTCAGGGGCATCCAGCTGTTGCGAGAGGTCGCCAAGTGCATGGCTGACCCGGCCGCCAAGGCAAGGCTGGTCGACCGGCTGCTGCCACATTGCGTGGATCCCCAGCAGCAGCAGCAGGACGTCACGCAGCGGCGGCTGGCTGTCGCCCGGTCATTGGCGAGGGAGTTGGACATCCACAGCGGCAGGACGCCGCTGCAGTGGTTCTGCATCCATCCACTGGACGACGGCCTGCTGCAGCGACAGACCCTCAACCACCTCGTCCACTACGGCGGCATCACTAGCGGCATCGCCTCATGCACCATGGCACGCGACAACGGGGGGCGGACCCTGCTGCAGCTTGCATGTGAAGCCCCGCATCCCAATGCCACAGTTGGCTTCCTGCTGCAGCACCGGGCGGCTGAGATGGTCAAGGAGCCGGTGGGGCGCCCCAACACGGCCCTAGAGCTCGCCGCCCAGAACCCTGCTGCCACCGAGGAGACGCTGCTCGCCCTGCTTGAAAGTTGGGCGGCGTTGCCCGACTTGCCCCCGCCCCCTCGCGACCCGCCCAAGGCAGCGTCCAGACGCACTGCCACATCATCCGCCACCCAGCCAAGCCAGCCATCGTGGGCCCGCCGTCTGCTGCGTGTGTATAGGGTGTATCTGCTGGAGCGTCTTCCCCGCCTCGTCCTTCGGGCCGTTGACGACGCCATCGAGGCCATCGACCCACCTCAGGCGCGGCTGAACCGGCTCACCAAGACGGGCGAATGGCCGACCCACGACCCCACCCATCCCCTACCCAAAGAGATCACCCGGCGGATCGTGAGCTACCACCAGCGGCAGGTGCCGCCCATCATCCCCATCGGCGAGGCCACACTGAGCCGTCGCATCAACGAGAAACTGGCGCACCATGTCGAGTGTGTCAAGCGGCGGTTTGCGCGGACGGGCCAGATGCACATAATAGGCGGGGCGGTGCGTCTGCCGTGTTGGTCGGTTTCGGCGGGTTCGGGTCGTCGTAATCTGGGGCTGTGTGAGTTGGTGTATCGTGCCATCGCGGCCGAGTGCCAGCGAGTCGGCATCGACATGACCGGCTCAGACGGCAGCCCCACCCTCACCCACAGCCGGAGCGGTGATAGATGGGATGGGGCAGCCTGGTGATTGGTGATTGGTGATGGGGATGCCGGGGCGGTGGATGGGTGGGTGTACGCCGCCACTGACGGACGGCTGTGTGCGCACCTTGACATACGCAGGGAGCATTTGTGTACGTCTCGTGGCCGGCTGTCTGCTGTACATGTGTGTCTATAAGTGTGGGGCGTGTGGATGTGTGTCGACTCACACACCGCAGGCAGACTGTGTGGCTGGCGTGGTCGGGGAGAATGGCCGTCGGTCTGCTGTCTGCTTGTGAGTGAGGATGGCGGGACCATGCCAGCCGTCCCACACAGACAGGCTGACTGTGGATGGAGGTGCGAGAGTGTCTTGGATGGATGGATGGATGGATGACTGCCTGGATGTGTCTTGTGTGTGAAGCACGTTTGTTTGCCGTTTTGTATTGCGTTTGCGGAGCTGGACATATATGTGAGGTATGTGAGGCGATTCTTTCATTGACCCGTGTCACCACACTTCGCCTTTATTTCACTTCACTTCAGCAGCGGTTCCACTTCACTTCACTTCATCCTGCGAGCTTAGATGCAGAAAAAATTGCTTCTTTCTTCAGACGATGATGACGCCGTGGCTGTGTGGAGCTGCTGTGTGACGCATCAAGAGCCTTCGAGATGATATCGATCTGCGTCAGTGTCACCACCTCCATATGGTGGATGCCATTCTGACGATTTGGGGTGAGAGATGGCGGGACAGGAAGAGCCGAGGGCATACACGATAACAATTCTCCTTATTTCCGTGTGTTGCAGCAGATCTTGGCAGGCATTGGCTTTTGTCGGTGTGGTGGCTGTGAGCAACGGAGAAGGAGAGAAGCCCAGCTCACAGAAGGAACAGATCTCGACCACCTGCAGCCCAAGGGCACCCGCTGAGGTATGGCAAGGGAAAGAGAGCCACTCGGAGGAACAATTGTTCCTCTCTCTCTCTGTGTGTGTGTGTGTGATACACAGATGTCGGACACTGCTCATGAAGGGGCTGCCTCTGCAAGCGACACTCGTCCGCGTCACCAATTGCTGCAGGTAGCCGTGACCGTGCAGATGATGGGAGGCATGCAGGCGTACTACTCGGTTTGTGTGTGTGTGTCCCGGTGGCAGGCCGCACACAGCCGGAGGGCTTTGATGCCGTCCCTGGCGTGGTCACGCCGATCTTCGCCAAGTGCCTCGGCAACAACTACAAAGAGACGGCCAACCTGCGCCTCATCGACCGGACTCGCCACGCATCCCTCACGCCCGCCATGCTCATACCCCTCTTGACCCGCTTGCTGCCCATTGTGGTTGCCGGCATCTTCGGTGTCCTGGTGGATGTGCCCATTCCCCAAGTGGCGCAGGGGGTGGCCGCTGCAGTGGCCAGCAGTGCCCTCCTGGAGCGGCTGACGCGACGGTTCTTCATGCTGTGCCATGGCGGCAAGTGGGCTCGATGGAGGCTCGTGCTGATCATGCTGTATCATCTGCATCGCAAGGGACCACTGGTGCTGGGCGACGGCAATTTCGGCTTGTTCGACAGCCGAGCGGCGTTTATGAGCGAGAGGGAGGCGCCACGCCTGTGGAAGATTCTGAGCTGGGGGCTGACTGTGGACGATAGTGGTGTGGGGGATGCCGTTCGGCTGATGGACGGCGACACTATTCGCCCCCTCTACAAGTACGTGTACTGTCTTCCCACCCTCCTGATGGCCCCCAGCTCCCTCTTCCCTGACATATTCGAGCCCGAGGACCCTCCGACACGACTTTGCGGCCACGTGTACAGCACCTACACAGCCATGGTGGTCTTCATCTTGTTCGCATGGCTCCGTCATGGCGGCTGCATGCGTCAAGATCGCGTCACTCTTGAATACTCTCTCTCTCGTGCTGCAGCCGATAGGCTGCAGGAGTTGCTGGCGACCCCTCGCAACAGCAAAGAGTGGGCGGCAAGCCCAGGAGTCTTCGATGAGGTTTGGGAGCGAGGAGAGCGGCGTCGGCGTTATCGGCTGGTGGTGGTGACCATTGGGATGCAGGACATCGCGGCCATCAGGCTGAACGACCACAGTATTGGCATCTACACCACCGAGGCATCCCCCTATCGCCTCACACGCTCTGCCGTGGGGAATGTGTTGGGCGAGCTGCTGATGAAGGATGTGTTCGGAGAGAGAACCTAGACCTCTCTGTAGTCGTTGGAGTCGTTTCTAAGAGCAGGACTCATCCACTCTGCCTGCCGGGCTGCATAGCGTTGCTGGGTAGATGCACGTGTGTCGTCATAGTGCTCAGATGAGGCCGGCGTATGTGGGTATGACGATGTACAGACAACATCCGTGTGGCCGCCTGCAGATAGATGTTTCGATTGCCCGTTTTGAACGCTGTCTGTCTTTTATGGATAGAGTGTGCACGTCACTAGGGCGGGTACTGATAAAGCTCTCACATAGACGGATCGACACAAACGTGAAGTCTCAGCCTGTCCGTTGTTGCATCATGCGCATGCCCTCAGAAAAGAGAATAGCAGGAAGGCACCCACTTCGCTCACCCACAACCTGCATGCAACAAAAGCACACACGAAGCCTCGTTGAAGCCAGAGGCAGAGCAGGATACACGATCCGCCCTTGGTACCCAGGCAGTCGCTTCGGCAGCGAACTTGTCGCCGTGCCACAGCTGCCGCAGCCGTGGCTCGTGCCGCCCACGTCAACCTTTTGCTTCTCTGCCGGAAAGGTCCGCTCAATGAGCAGAAGAAGGGCGACTAAATCGTTGGGTGTTGCCCTGCTTGACGGCGAACAGCAGGCCGTCCTTGTGCGCCACGATGTCACGGCTTGACCTGGCGACACACACACACACGCAAACGCAAACACGTATCTCGTTCCCATCCATCCATCCATCCATCTGTCTGTCTGTCTGACTGTCCGTCCGTCGCCATGCTTCGCCTCCTCACATGTAGGGCAGCACCGGCGCCGCCGCGATCTTCTTGTCGGTCATCTCCACCACCACCAGCCACTCCAGATGATGCCCGCCCAGCTCGACGCCAAAGATCTCCTCCTCCGTGTGGCGCAGGCAAACATGTCGGGCGAAGGCAACGATGTCGGGCCGTCCCCTGCAGGAAAACACACACGGCGACGCGGACACGTACACACACAGAGTGCGATGCTAACGGTTTCTCAGTAACGGTTTCTCAACGCGAGCTCATCTCCCGAACAGGAACAGGAACAATCAACCCGCTCTCTCATCCCAGGAAGGGAACAGGAGTTTCCCCCCTGGCGCAATGCCGCCAGCTGACAAAGCGTCCGTTCCTCCCCCCGATGGGATGTGCTTCTTCTTCAGCCTCATCGATGACATCATCTTCTCACTCATCCTCCTCTGCTCTGATCTGGCCAGCTGCGTGGCGCTGCGACGCACCAACAAAGCCGATGGCCACAGCGGAGTGACACCCGCACTCATCCTCGGGCGCATCGACGCATCTCTGGCGGCCGAGGGCATGACCGGACTGCTCGACGTGTCGCGTCAGCCAAGCAGCATTCCTCTGCCCGACGGCCTCAGCTACTTCGACTATCTGGTGCGGTCGGCGTACCTGTTGGACGTCACCAAGGGCTGGAAGAGATGGACCAAGGGCATCTACATCGCCCGCAACAAGCGCATGATCAGCGGCAGCAACAGCCTGCCTGTCCTCATGTGCCCCTCATCCCTCCACCTGGCCTTCCCCTACAAGAGAGCCATGTCCAACATGCCACACGCCATCGAGCAATTCGCTGCATTCGGAGGGCAGCTGGGCACTGACCAGGACGGCACTCTCGGGCTGACTCGGCTGCGAAGGCGCCAGTACCGCATCGGCGACAAGGCCATCGCCGTGCTGCCCGCCCGAGGACCTCAACATCAATCGCTTACGAGCCGGCTTCCAGTTCAACGCTAAGGACCCCGTGATCCGCACATCAGTCACACCTAACGAGTATAGCGGTGACTTCTATCACGTCTACCCCTCATTCAGCGGCTACATCACCCAACGGATCACGGCCAGCACCAGCGCAGCAGGTGGGCTGGCCCAGGGGCAGGTCAACGAGGACGGCGGCCGGAAGCTGCTGAACGAGCCGGTCGAGAACAAGACCGTCGTCGAATGCACGCGCATGGAGGGCGACTTGCATCCCCCGATGGTCTACCAAGAGCGCTACATCGTGCTGGCGGGCGACAAGGCGGAGGACACCTACGCGGCAGTCCTGCACGTGCTGGAGGGGAGCATGGCCGTCCTGATCGACCCCGCTCCTCCCATTCTGCTGGACCTCTTTTCGTTCGAGACGCCTGTGTCCCGTGCGCAGGGCGGCTATGGTCGGCACCCACAGTGCTGGGCTGCAGCCCAGCGGCTGACTGACTCGATGGGCGTGGACTTTGACGGGCTCGGCCTCGAGCAGTGGTTTGACGATGACATCGAAAATGAATGAATGAATGAGGCGTTGGTGGGTGGGTGCATGGTGGGTGGGTGGGTGGGGGGTGGGCTGAGCGAATCTTTTTTTGATGACATCCTTTTGTCAGCCAGACATTCATGGCGTCAACACAGTGGATGGATGGATGGATGGATAAGCGTCGCGAATCTGCCCATGTCTGTGGGCGTGTCATTCTTCAGCGTATGTGTTTCCGTTTGACTGCGATTTTGTGTCATGGGTATGTGTGTCTGCTTGGTGAAGACTCCCCTATGTTTGTTTTGTAAGTGGATGGGCGATCGGCGGTTTCTCCACTGACTCTGTCACTGCAATGCCACTCAGAAGCATCCAGCGGACAAACTGCCTGCCTGCCTGCCTGCCTGCCACCTTCTCGCCTTGGCTTGCCTCTCTCTCTGAATGGTGCATGGTGCATGGTGCATGGTGCATGATGGCTGATGGTTGAATGACAACTCCTGTGTGCCTGTCAGTCTGTCAGTTTGATTGATACATACACACAGCTGAGAAGGGTTGGGACGGTGGGTGTGTGGGTGTGGCTGCCAGACTGGTGTCCGGTTGTCAGTGTACGACATCGCATGCGTGATCAGAGACGTTAATTACATCCGCCTGTCACGCCAGCGTGTCCTTAAGCTTCATCGAGAGTCGAAGAACCAACGAACGTGATATAAAATGAAGACAGCGATACGCAGGAACACACTGCATGCGCCCGTTCAGACGCACACCTCTCTCATGACTGATCGCACGCAACAGGCCAATAACACGCAAATCCACACACTCGGCCAACCACCACAATCCTACGGCAGGCAGACGAAAGCAACACACACACACACGACCGGCGCTTGCAGGTGTCTCTTGCGGACACGCTGCATGCAGCCATGCAAGGGACACTCTCATGACTAAGCAGGCATCACACACGTCGGCCACGCCATCCTCACGCACCGCCCCCCCGCCCACCCATCCATCCATCCGGCCAAACCACCAGAAGCACGCACCATAATGCAACACGGGCGGACACATAGACAATACAGAGGCAACACACAGACAGCTTTCATGCAAGAAAGGGTGGACCAAGAAGGCCACTTTGCCCACGCATCCATTTCGTTTCTAAGCATCCATCCATCCATCCAGTCACCCAGACAGCCAGCCAGTCAGTCAGCCAGCCATTCAGCCAAGCATTTCCATCAGGGACGCTTTGCTTTTTCCGCTTCCGTGTTGACTGACTGAGGCAGTCATCAATCACCTCCATCGCGGCCTCCCCGAAAAGTGGGACCTTCTTCTCTGTCAGCTTTTTCTTCTCTTTGCATCGATTCTCGCCCTGGTCGTGTAAGGAAGGAAGCACAAATAGATAGGAAAACCCGTACATGCATCCTCAATTATGCCCCTCGCGTGCTCCTCGAAGCTGCTGTTGATCTGATGCCGTAATGAATCACCGAAATATAAAATGTACGCAGCGATCGAGGAAAAGGGAAGACACTAAACAACAGACAGAATGCAAACAGAGGCACAACATGAAAACAGGTGGGTGAGGTGGGAGACGGGCATTTTTGTGCGTAAGCTTACCTCCTCCTTCGTTGTGTGACACAGAGTGTGTGTATCATGTGGGGATGGCCACGTGCAGCCGAGCCAGCTGCAGCCTCTCCTCGTCTGCATCCATCCCGTGTTTGTCTCTCTGAAAAGACGCAGCAATGAGAATATCAGGTTGTGTCGGGCCTTCAGATTCAGATAGCTATGTACTTGATTGCAGCTTCGGGGGGTCGCCAAACGCTCGTTTGTCGCCCCACTTCATGCTGTCCCTCAGGCCACCAAAGGCAAACCTCTTCAATCGTTTGGCGGGCGGTGGGGCGGCTTTCGGCTCATCAAGCTGCAGATCGTTAAGCAGAGGACAAGTGAGTGCTATGGATGAGTCAGTTAGTCTGCCGAACTCACCTGCAACCGTACCGTCGTGCTGGATGTCGGGCGGGTGAGGGGCCTCTGGTGTGTTGACTGCAGCCATAGAAGAACAGAAGGTCTCACTTGGCGTGTCTCGTCTTGCGTCTCGTGAGCTGATCTGTCATACCTATAAGGAAGTCCCAGGCGGAAACGTCTGACTCGTCCCCCCATCCGTCGACCCGTCGGACATATGCCACTCGCCCACTCTGCAGGCTGCCGTCCTCAGGCAGGGCCTGGTGTTTGGCAAATGAGTGGAAGTGCAAGCCATGTCTCTCATGTCCATCTCTGTCTCATCTCCTTACGGCGTCTTCTCCTTCGTGTGTCTCCGATTGCACACGGTGGCGGAGCTCACTCAGCTGCTCCTCTGACCTGGCCATCAACGACTGCAAGCACCGGGAACCAAAGGGATCTATGACGTACTTTGGCAGTCGAATGAATACCTACCTGCTGCTGGCTGATGAGCGTCTGAAGCCTGAACAACTCCTCGCCACTCTCCTTCAACTGTCCTTCAAGCCATGCGATACTTTCGCGCAACGCTGCGGGGCGGGGAAGGAAAGGAGACGAGGGAACGGCTCGTGTGAGGGTTATCGGCCATGATTTGTCTGTCTGACCTCGTGCCTACCTGCTATCTCCCTGGCTGCCATAGATGGCACTTCAGTGCCCTCCTCAGTGCCCTGTCCGCCCCCAGCCGCCGCCCGAGCGATACCCTGTACGACTTGGTGGTTGTCGGGCAGGTATGGGGCCTGTGGTGTGTTCACTGCAGGCAGTGAATGAGCGAAGAAAAACAATGGTCTCACTTGGCGTGTTTAGTCTCGTTGGCTGATCTGTCATACCTGAAAAGAAGTCCCAGGCGGAAACGTCCGACTCGTCCCCCCATCCGTCGACCCGTATCTCTGTCGCCCTCGACATGTGGCACTCGCCCGCGAGACAGACTTCACATTGTTCCTCTGACCACCTGCATCAATTCATTATGTCGATCGACTGACTGACTGACTGACCGGTGGCAAGAAAGTGAGCCTCATCGACCGGGGCTATGTGCTGGCGGTGTGGTGCTTCTGTCAGCCAGCTGTCGTCATTCCCTTCGGCTGTCTGGGCCCCCTTGTCAACACGCGCCTCGTTGGCCAATGTGCGGCTGTCCGTCCGGCGCTCCTCAGGCAGTGACATCTGCAACCAACCAACAGCATCTCATCTGGCTCACGGACGTACCTTCCTGTTGTTCATCCATTAAGCTCACGTCAAAGTGGAGGCTGACCCGTCACGCCAACGTGTCCGTCATTGAGAGTCAAAGAGCAAACGTAATATAAAATGAAGGCAGCGATACAAACATACCCCGCCGCGGCGTTGCTGAAGTCGAGGGCGCCTGGTCAGCCGCGTCCTATCCCCCTCACCATCTCCTCACTCGCACCCTCCGCATTCGCCTGCGCCATTGTTGTGGCGACAGTCTCAATGTACTCAACCAACGGTACTGAAGGACAGAAGATAGATGACCTACCTGCCTACCTGCCTCTGTGTATTCGTATCTATCTACCTCCTCCGCCCTCCATGAGAACGCCCTTGAGGCCGTCATGGACTATGATGTCGATCATGGCGGGGATGACGGGGTGCTCCATCATGATATCAAATCCCGTCGCTGGAAGGCCAAACATGTCCACCATCTGCAGGCGCCACCACACACACACAGACATCACACATCCACCCAGCCAGCCCTTCCCTCTGTGTACCAGCCACTCTATCTACTTGCCTGCGTCGGCGGCTGCAGGGATGGGTCGATGATCTTAAGCAGCACCTCCTCGCCACTTAGGGCACTAACCAAGTTGATGTCGTGCGGTGATGGGCCGGCCCGCCGCTCCAGCTTGGCCTTCTCGCTCCTACTCAGCACAATGGCATGTGCACACGCACAAGACACACAGCAAGGAACGCTTTGTATGCTGCAAAGGCAATCGGTCTGTGCCCCTTACGTACGCAAAGCTCATCGATACGGGGGTCGGCGCCGAATCCCGTAAGTATCTCTCTCAACTCATCCGGCATTCATTCACACACTTTTTATGGAATGGCACTCTGCAGTGCAGTGTGGCCCACCTCGACGCTTTCTCGTACAGCAGATTCATCTCCCGTTGGGCGGCTTCATACTCCTTCATTACTGCCTTCTCCCTCATGGAAAGCTCGTGAAGCCTCTCCGCCAGCTGACAGTCGTCGATTGCACCCCTCTTGTGGTCCTCGAAGGCCTTGTCGATTCGATGGCGTAATGGCCGCATTTCGGAGGCGTACTTGGCCTCCGCATACCGCTGGTGCTCTTCAAGGTATTCCATTGTCGCGATGTCGTGGAGGTGGCACTTCTGCACGTACGACGAAGGAAAGGGGCTGTCACCGTCCTCAAAATCACTGCGGAGATAGATAGATGAACACATGCAGACAGCAAGTGGAGATGGAAACGAACAATAGCTGTCTTGTGGGTGCGTACCAGCATCCTTAATTGTGCCCCTCGCGTGCTCCTCGAAGCTGCTGTTGATCTGATGCAAAATGAATCGCCGAAATATAAAGTGTACGCAGCGATCGAAGAAAAAGAGAAGACACTAAACAACAGACAGAATGCAAACAGAGGCAAAACATGAAAACATGAAAAGAGGTGGGAGCCGGGCATTTCTGTGCGTAAGCTTACCTCCTCCCTCGTTGTGTGAGTCGTGAGAGACACGCCAAATGTAAAATGCAGCGCCGATTTGAGACACAGAAACCTGCATGCGTCTTTGCGTCGGCCTTTCTCATTGCGGACTTCACTCCTTTTCTGCTCAGGATGTGACACACACACACACACAAACACACACACACACACAAAATTATTGCACACGTTGTCCGTGCCTTCACGTACCATACTGCCGTCGCCCATTTTGTCCAGGCAGTAGTTCTTGCTCTGGTACTGCTGTCCCCACGGCATGTCTAAATGAATCAGCCAGCGGGCCGCCAGTTTGGCGACTCTCTTGAAGTAATCGCCGCAGATTGTGTAGACCCCTGCACACACAACACAGCGATGGATGTGTCATGATATCCCACCACGCATTGTCGTCGTCTTGTTAATGTCCGTACCACGATCCTCACGGTGTTGCGATGGCCCTTGCCCTGCCGGTCACGATGCTCCCGCCATAAGAGACACGCCAAATATAAAATGTAGACACCGATCCTGCATGGACACACACACATACGAGCCGCGCACACACGTGTGTCTGAATGCGTATTACATACTGATTCGTGAAAGCGCGCCCCCTGGATGGCCGAAAACCACCACAGCAGACACAACACAGCCCCCCACCGTCTCTCTCCACTCAACCCTCCTCCACAGCAATCAGAGGTAACCGGTCGTGGGCTGCTTCTTATCGAGGGCTTTCTCTGATCATCAGACATGCAGAAAACGTTTGTGAAGAGATTTGTATCTGCAGATGTCGTAATCGGACGTACTTGATCTCTTCTCGGGCTGCTTGGGCGGCTTGGGCCGCTTGACTGTCGGGGGTGGGCCAAACGTCCCGTCAAGGGGACGGCGGGGGATGCCGACGAGGAAGGGTGGGCGCCATGGGAGCGGGGTCTCGCCGTCCAGCATCTTCTGCTTGAACGGTGTCTCCTTCTTGGCTGAGAGAGACACACATAAGCAGACAGTGAATGAATCATGGCAAGACGCAACGCTGCCTGCACGCATCTCTTAGCATACCGGGCGTTTTCTCGGGCACCGGTGGCAGAAAGGGCTCCTTGTCCCGAGAAACCTCCCTCAAGCAGCTCCCAGTCGCTGCAGGAGGTGCTTGTGGCGAAGCCTCTGCAGGCGCTCCCGGAACGTGTTGCCCTTGGCGGCAAACTGAGAAGCCACCAAGACACCATCGAAAGTCAAAAGCTTTTAACATAACGGTGGCGTTGACGGTGCAGCTCACCTCCTGCATGAACTGGCCCACTCTCCTAGTCACCTCGAGCATCTCCGCCAGCAGCCTCTCATCGGGGTCCTCGAGCACCAGGGCGCCGCTGGAGGTGCTGCGTCGGGGCAGCAGACGTAAGGGCGGCGTTCGGCAGCCCTCTGTTGCCGCCGGCTGGTGCTCCTCCTCCTCGCTAACCGTCTCCTCCTCGCTCGCCGTCTCCTCCTCTCCCTCGTCGGCCGTCTCCCCTTCCTCGTTCTTCTCCTCCTTGATGACCTCCTCATCACGGTCGAATTCGTCGCGCAGGTCGACGTCAACCATGGCCTCGCTAATCATCACAGACCTGACACAGAGAAAGTCACACTCCATATGCCTGCCGCTCTTCTCCTCCGTCTCCAACTTACCTTTCGTATGAGGGTTTTCTTTTTCGGTTGCCTCCATCGATGTCCTTCAAAGACAGGCCGATGAGTGGCCCAAATAGTAAAACTCCTGTTGGCGCAGCCCACACAAAGCATACCCGTGAGAGAGATGGGGTGTGTGTCTGTGTCGTGTTGTGTTATCCTCTGCTGTGCATTCACTATGTATTCTTCTGTACTCTTGGTTCCTATAGCCTTTGATAGTCGCTGGAACCGGGGGTCGGCGCACAAACAAAACAACCGACGGAGGAGCAGGAGCACGATTGAGAGGATCCGTCAGATCAGACAGCCAGAGAGTCCCCCAACACTCTGACCGTACTGAATGGGTGGGTTGGTGCTCCACATGTGCAACACAGCGAGCGACAGAGAGAGAGACAGCCGTCTCCTCTCTCTCCTCCACAAGTTGGAGGGTTGAAAGGCTGGTGGTCAGTGAGAGGGTGGAGGGAACTGAGAGCTCAAAGTTGGACCGTCCTGGGCTGCCGCTCGTCGTTCGCTTTCCCTGATCACACACATGATACAATTGTGACGAGAGTGGCCCTGTAGATCTCGTCATCGGAAACACCGGAGCTCCTTTTATAGGGCTTGAAGGTGGGAGGCGGGAATGTTCCGTCCAGGGGGCGGCGCGCAACACCCACCAGGAACGGTTTTGGGGCAGGTGGCCTCGCTCCCGGCAGCAGCGTGCCGTCCAGCGTCGCCTTCCTTGGAAGCACGATCTTCTTGGCTGAGAGAGACACAGAAGCAGACAGTGAAGGACAGGCACACGGCTTGTCTTTCGACGTATCGTCTCAGCGCACCTCTCGTCTGCTCCGGCACCGAGGGCAGCTTGGGCTGGGGCTTCCTGTAGCCGCTGCCGGCGACCTTGCGGAGGTGTCGGTGGGAACTCTCGCGCAGTCGGTCCTCGAACGTCTTTGTCTTGTTTTTGGACTGAGAAGCCAACCAGGACACCATTAGAAAGTTGAGAGCTTCCAATCGAATGGGGCATTGTGGGTGCAGCTGACCTGCTGTCTGAGCCGCTCGCGCCGTTGGTTTCTCTCAAAAGTCTCCCTCCACGCCCGCTGGAAGGGCGTCTCCTCGCTGGCCCCCTCCTCTTCC